AAAAAAAAAAACAACAATGTTTGAAATTTCTAAAGAAATAATGATTTAAATCTATTAAAGTTAATAAAAAAATTTAAATAAAACAAAAATAATGAATTCAATGAAAAACTATCATTATAATTATATTTAATTCATTTTACCAAAATTTTTGATTTAATTCAAATAAATTAAATCATTGTGATATTTTCAGTAAAAAATAAAATTTATAGAAGCTTGTTACATTTTGGTATAAATTTTTCTGCACAAATTGAATATTTTATACATATCCAATTTATTCATATTTTACATTTTAAAAATTTTGAATTGGCAGATAAGATTCAAGGATATTTTATTATTTGTTTTGACTTTAATATTTAAATTGTGTGAATAATTGATTGTAAGATAAGTTGTTGCAATTAGCAAAGAGTTAAAAAATAATTAATTAATGTTATTATATCTAATTGTAATATTAATATTGATTTCAATATATTTCTTTTTTGAAATTAAATTGCCTATATTAAGAATTTAAGATTCATTATTCATGTTTATTGGTTAATTATTTTCTAACTTTAAATATAAATTTTATTACTTTTGAAAAATATAGGTTTATTCCTATATATATTCACTGATTAATAATTTAAATGGAACCATCAAATTCTATAATATATAAGTCAAAATAGATTTCATTATATATAGTTTTATAAGTTATAAAAATAAGTTGTTAAAGTTTTTTAGTTGATGGAGGAGTTTGGAAATCAGAATAAATTTTCCTCCATCATTTAATCAATTAAGGAATTCTCTTTAATTAGTTATATAGAAAAATTAAATATAATATTTTTGGATATGCTGAAATTGTTATTAAAATCACCTTCAATCACAGATTTTATCATTAGGCTATTCTTTCTAAACTTATAAGATTCATAGATTATTCCGCATTTTCAGAGCTTAGAACATTCTATTGAGCATTTTTATTGGTTTTTTTTGACATAACATATCTAAAAGATTATAATAAAATGATACGATCTATTTTAAATTTAAGCTTTGGAAATGATAATCAAATATTTTCTTAATTTTTATAGATTTAATTTTAATTTAGTTTATTTATTTTCTTCTTATCTTAACTATTCAGAAACAACTTTCTATATAGATTTAAGTTTAATTTTTTTCATTAGTAATTCAAGAACAGTTAAAAGAAGTATTTTGTATTTTTTATAGTAAATTCTTAAAATAGAAATAATAAATGGATAAGAGAGTATTATAAAGAAGAAAGTTAAAATAATCTAAAGAATTAATGAGATAGAATTATTATTTTATTATTCACTAAAATATTTAGTTGTTGCTAAAAATATAGAGATTGAACAAATTTATCCACTTTATAAATCCAAATGATTTAATTTGAATATAATATAAGGTCTATTTTTAACTGATAGTAATTAATAAAATAATAAACTAAGTACTAGAAGTGATGCTTTTATAAAGATGTTTGTCTCAAAATAGGTTAAAATTAAGATCATAACAGCTTTTTTAAACAATTTAATTTCTTCCCAATAATAACGTTCTTTTTCATATTCATTAAATAAATAACATAAATGAACTCTAAGTTGTCCTATTCCTTTATAAATTTTATCTTTTTTTAATACTATTAATAAGAATAATAGTAAAGGAATAAATCCACCAAAAATTACTAAGAAAGGCACCATGAAAAACATCATCCATTTAAAATGGCTTTCTGTATTATAAATTAATGAAACATCACCTTGAATGTATTCATAATTAGAAATTTCTCTAAGGGAAATTATGGAACCTAATCTAAATAATGTTTATTTATTTTTATTACAATTTAATTAATCCTGAATAATTTAATATGTAAAGACATAGCAAAATATTGGAAAGTATTCTAATTTTAAATTGATCTTTATATAAGTAGCAATAAATGTAAAATATTAATAGAATCATCAAAAATTACCATATTATTAAAATTAAAATTATAAATACTTTTAAATATATTAGTTATGTGAGTGAGATATCAGATAAATAACAATCTAAATTATTAGCCATAGAATAAGATGTATTACTAGCTTTATCTATAAAATTAAAAGAAAAAGAGAAACTTATATTAAAAGTAAAAATAAGAGAAAATATCCAAAAGTAATTCAACATCATTTTAATAAAGATGCTTTCAAAATCTAAATTAAATTAAAGAGAATACCTTAAGTTAATGTGAAAATAATTTAACTTTATCTTTCTTTTATTCTTAATAAAATAAATAGATCATTAGATTTATTTATACTATTTAATGTTAATATAACTGATAATACAGCCCTAAATATTTGAATATGAATACCAAACTGAATTTAATATAAAAGGTACAATGCTATCAGCAATACCAAAACATGACAAACATTCTGAATTTTCTGAGTTTTTAAAGTATTTTCCATCACCTTTGATATTATAAATATCACATTCTTCACATAATGCTCCTAAATGTCCTTTTATGCAAAGATTATCACCAACATACCAACCACCTTTACAATTTTTAATATTCTTAAAGCATTAAGTTGTATAATCTGATAAATAATTTGGTCTCCAATATCCCTTATTTAAATTTAATGAATTTGCTGTTATTTAGTTAAACTTCTATTTATCAAAGATTGAACATTTAGTATCATTGTAAGTAACAGAATAATATCCTTAATTTGATTAGCATAATTAACAACCATTATCAACCTAAAATTCTCCTAATTAACATTTATAACTTCTTGCATTTATTATGTATTACAATTATTTTGAATCATCTTAAGGATCACATTAAATTATTATTTATAAATAACTATTATTCTAATAATTTGGATTGAAATGAAACTATAAATAAATCATATCAAATCTATTCAATATTGAATTGTAAGATAATTCATTTAATTAAGTATTACTTAATATTTTATCATTTTCTATAATCTATTACTTAACAACGCAGGTTGAATTCACCTAATTAAAAAGAAATTCATTCCTACTGTTTTTAAAATATAAACTTAAATCTTAAAATAAAATTAGGGCATATGATATTTTAGGAACAAAAAGTTAATAATCTTTAATTACTTAGTTACTTGGTATTTTTAAATAATCACTTTTTATTTTTTATTCTTGTTCTATTGTAATATAGGGTTTTAATTAAAGAATGTTTGTTTGAGTATTATTCAAAATAAATTTTGAGGATTTCATTTCAACTTGGTTAATACTTAAAGTTAAATTAGATGGGCTTTCTATAAGGTTATTTCCATAATTTTTTGCTTAATTGAATATTAATAAAGACTAAATAAAGTTATCAATATTAATAGTTTAATTACCATCTAAATATAAACCTCCTCCAATATTTGCTTTGTTTTATATAATGATTGTAGATTTAATGATGAATCTTTTATTTTTTAAATCAAAATAAAGACCTCCACCTTATTCATTAGCAACATTATTCATTATAATGCAATTACTCACAAATATAGGTGCTTCTATAGAAGTTATTGCTGCACCTTTTTTACCAATGTTATTAATTATATTTGAATTAATTACTTTTATATATGATAAAGAAACTTAAGTTGCATGAGCAAAATTTAAACATCCATAATCAGATATTATGTTATAAAAACAATCTAAATCGTAAATACTTAGTTTTTCAATTTTATAAACATTAAAATAAATTAAGCCATTACTACAAAATGTACAATTATTTCTCTTTATTTAGATTAGATTAAGTCTATAATTATTTTTTTCTTATACACTCTTCAGATTAATAAGTGATGAAGAGTTCTTAGCATTTCTTTTAAAACTATTTTATACATTCTAAAACGTCTAGGATTTTTCAACTGTTGATATTGTTATTTTAATACAATTTTAGTTAATGAATAAAATTTGAGTTATCAAAAGCTATATTTACAGAGCTAAATAAGGCTAAGTATTGGTAATACTAAATTATGAAAAAATTACAGTATATTGAGTTTGAACTGTTTATTGAATATCAATAATATTAAATGAGTAAAACATATAAGTTTAATCTATCCAAAAATTCTATAATTTTAAACTTGAAATATTTGATACTTTTAATATTGGATATAGAAGTAAACCTGAGATTGAAAGTCCTTTTATATCAATCTAACAACTTTCTAAATAAATCAATGCATTTGTTTCACTGGTTACTTCTTCAATTTCAGAATTAGTTAACGCTTCAATTTTAGAAAAGTAAGCAATCCAATTTTCTTCATCTATCATTATCATTACATTTGTAATTTTTATTTTATTTTATTGAGCAATTTTATTTGAAAATTAGACTTTTATAATTGAATTTAGTAAAGATAAACAATTTATTATTGTAATGTTAGTAATCACTATTTAATTTTATGCAATGGATGGTATAATTGTTAAGATAGATGGAGCCATTCTACTTATTATTTATGAAAAGTAAGAGTTTACAATTTTAAGATTTAACAAGCTATTTTAAGAATAAATGCCTATACATCCTGAATTGTTAGTCATTTATTATAAATCATGTTCTGCTTAATATATTTTAAATTCAAGAAGTTCAATTACACCATCTTACTCAGTAATTATTTCGAACACAGAACTTTTTGATGATTTTATTCTCTAAAAGGTGCAATCAAAGCATCTAAAATTAGATGTAGTTAATTAGGCCGCACCTCCAATATTTTTAATAGAAAAAATTTATTGGATAATTTAATTTATTTCATCTTAATTATATTCATTATCTAATTATAGATCTAAGTATTTTATTAACATATTGTAAGGTAATTTACATTTATAAATATTTCTAGACATTATATTTCATAAACAATGGAGCCATAATTTAAGTTATGAAAATATTTAGACAACAAATATCATAAAAACAGATTAAATATGGGAAGTAAAAAAACATTTAACATTGATTTGTAAATTATGAAAACTTTTCAGAATGAAGAAAAATAATTATATAGATCATAAAGATAAAAACTTTTTCAGCAGAATATATACTATGTTTTCTCAAAATAAAAAATATAATTTTCAGATGAAAAAAACAAATATTATATTAGAGATCAAGTTTAATAGATTATGATTCTCAACATGATAATTGTTGAAATTTATAATTTTAGAAATAATTTAAACAAATGAGCTGGATGAATTAGAAAATAAATTAAATTTAGAAATATAATTTGTAATTTCTACAGAGCAAGTTTTACAATTAACAGATAACAAGCTTGCATAATTTTTAAATGAATAATCTGTTAACGAGTGAAATATATTTTCTAAGTATTAAATTTGATTTATACTTACATTTAATTGTTTTTCAGAGTTTATTTTTAATAGTGAAGTAAATTCTATTTAATTTTATAAAATCATAAGATTTCTTAAAAATTGCATATCATTCATTTAAAGAAAATTTAATTCAGTATTATATTCTTAATTGTTAGAATTAATATCTATGATGGACTCATCAATATTAAATATATCTTATATCCTAATCATTATAATCTTAATTGAATGAAAACCCATGATTTTGAATAACTTAATCTATAACTATGGGATTGATTTGCATTTGTATGATAATGGAACTTTATATTAATTTTAGATTCCTTCCAATAAGACATTTTAAATATTAATGTAATTACTTTAATAGATGTAGAAAATAAATATGTTGGTTAGGTTTTTAATTTAGATTGTGTTTAGTGAAAGTTAAAAGCATTTAAATTTCAATAGATAATCTATTAGATCATCACTATTGACATCTTCAATGAAAAGATTTAAAATTAAATTACTTGTTTCTAAACTTGACTAGATTCTCCAAATGTTTGAACTAGTAAGCCTATTATTTTTAGCCCAAAAAAAGTTTAAAGAATTAGAAAATTTAAATTCAAATTAAGTTTCTAAAGTGAAAAATAATATCGAGTATTAAAAATAATTATCTAAAATCATAATATTGGACATCGATATATTGTGATAAAAATCAAAAATATTAGAGTACTAGAAAGTATTCTCTTATAATTTTATATTTATTAAGCTTTAATATAAAGATGAATTACTATTTTAAAATTCAGAATTATAAAATGTATTATTTTTAATGTTAAAATTAGTAAAACTTACAGGTATTTAAATTTAAATATTTGTATTGAAAATAAAAATTGTAGAATTGTAGATTTAAGATTCTTCAAATATAAAATTAATAATAGAAATTGTTCCTTTAGTTGATTTGAAAATTAATAGCTATGATTAATTGATTGTACAATTCTGGATAATTAAATTATCAATTTGAATGTTTCCTGAAATAGGAAATTTCTCAAAATTAAGGAAAGAGGAATTGTAAAACGTTGAATTTACAATTACAACTTATTTGAGTTAAATATTTCCAAAAATATCAGTTTGAAAAATACTTAATGTATTTTATATATTACTATTGGCAATAGAGAAGTTGAATAAATTTACATCAACAGGTTGATTATTATTTTTGATTATAAAATTTTAATTTCTACCTCTTAAGAAGGTTACATTGTAAATTTCTAATACATCAAAATTGTATATTTTAAAGTGAGAATTAGTCATCAAGTTCATTACTATATCAGAGGAAAATTTAAAGGATAGTTTTTCTTAAGGAAAATATTTATGATTTTAATGTATTATTAACAAGAAAACTTTCTAAAAAACAGCTTAGAATATCACTAATAAGAAAATTGAATCTAATATTAATTTTATCAATTCCCATTTTGTTACAATAATTAATGTTAATATTAGATTCCCATTTGTCATAGAAAATTTCACAATTTTCAAAATTATTGATTTATAACAATGTTGGATTACAATTAAAATTATTTAAACAATTCTTAGCAATTAAATCTTATGGATCTAGATAAACATTCGGATCATTAATAGATTTTAGACATTAAGTAGTATAAGGTAGATTATCATCTTTAATAATAAAAGTGGGTTATAAATTCTAATAAAATAATAAAATAAAGATAATTACATATATATCTATTTCTGATCGTATTTCACATAGTTAACATAATTAAGGACATTCTATGCATTTTCCTTAATATTGATTTCTGATTGATTAATAATATTAATCTAAAGGACACTTATTACAAAAGTATTCTGTATATCTATCTTCAAAACATGAAAGACATTCAGGTGAACATGATTTCTAACATTATCTAAATGAATTAAGTTAATATCCATCAATACATTCAATACTAAATTATTCTGTCAGGTCTGATATAAGGATATGAGGATAAAAATAATTGTTTGGTAAGTTTCATTATAAAAGCTTATATTCTTTGAATCCATGCATCTTATAATGAATAATCTCCTTCAATTGTAATTTATGAATTTTTATTTTACTATAATGTTAAATAGCAACCTCCATTTATAATAGATGCTGTATATCCTATTTTACATACAATACATTTAATTAAAAATTAAGGAGATCTTATGCATGAAAGACATTAAGGTTAATATTTTTCACAATTTATAATTTCAGGAGCAATATTGAAATCATCTATAGCAGCAAGAGTACAAATTTCATTACCATTAAAATCAATAAATGCTCTCAAACAATTTTTATTTGAAGGTTACTTTTATATAAATTTTTCTTAAATAAAATCAAATATATAGTTTTCCTCACACATTGAACAACCAATTTTAATTTCTTATTCAAAATAAAAATTCTCAAATTCTTTATATAATGTACATTTTCTTAAATCAATTTAATATTCAAAACAATATTTACAATTTTTTAAGTTACAATTTTAACATTATCATCTTGATGTCAAATATTTTGGATAAGGACAATAAATTTAATCTTCAATATTTTTGATACACTTTTAATCTATCATTTTATAACCTATACTGCATCTAATACATAATCTTTCACTTACAGATAAAACACAAAATGAACATTTATATTCATTATCTCCACATTCTTATTGTTAAAGTACATAATAATCAATTTCTTCATCAATATTATATTCATCAACAACAAAAGAATATGATTAATTACAAAATTCACAATAATTAAGATTCTCTCCATCAAATAGAAAGTATTCTTCATAATACGAAAACTTTTATTATGTATCTCCATTGGCATTTAAATATATATCATATAAACAAGTTGGATTTGTACTCCAACTTTTTGGATTTTATATACATTCTATACAATATATTACATTATCTTTTATAATAGATGGACTAAAAGTATAATAATTTATATAATTACCATTTTAAACAGTCACCTGAATATTCATAATAACCATATTAACATAATATATTAATCTATTCATCTCCATCTATACTAATTAATTAATAATCCTAATATTATTTACAGATTTTCTCATCTACAGTATCATATGGACATATACAAGCTTTGAATTAAGAAAGATAAATTCTTTGTGATTCAATTGAACAAGATATACAATCAAATTTTGTTGGACCATCACATGTATCACAACTATAATGACAATAATTTTAATTAATTGTTTATGCACAATTATATAAAACTAAATTTCTAGATTAAACATTTAAATAATCCAATTTATTTTATTTAATATTACCAATAACCAACTTTAATTATAAGTTATTAAATTGCATCACTTCATTTTGAACTTAAAATTCAATAAATTTATCTACATTATAAAATTTTATCAAAATTTTAAAGTTTCTTCCTATCATTTATACATTTACAAAATGCCAATAATTCTATAAATTTTCAATATCGAAATTATTTGTCATAAGAAATGGATTCTCTTCAAAATTAATAATAACTGATGGAAAATTATAACTATATGTAGTTGTAATTATTTAATTACCATTAGGAGATATTTTATACAATAATTAAAATGGAGATAAATTTGGATCCTATAATAAACCTTCATAATTAGATGTCAATTTTATAAATTAATATATAAATGTATCTGATTCTTAAATAACTTCTATAATCTTAAACCATCCAAATAAAGTAAAGCTATCACAATTTGCTTAATCTGGTAATAAAACTTTCTAATCCATATTTTAAAAATCAAAATCTGAAATTTAAAAAATCTTACTATTAATACATAAACAGTTTATATATGGTTAGAATGCATCAATAGCTATTGCTTTAAAATCTAAATCTGGAGATTATTGAATAAAAGCAAATTTAGATTAGATCATCTTACCAGGAAAGTATGAAAATAATTTTCCTATTTCTATAGATGAGATTAAAGATTTTTGTACTTTCAATCCTCCACCAAAATTTAATAAATTATTGAAAGGATGTTCAATTTCTAAACTACTTTTTAACTTTGCTTTATCTTATTATATTATCATTAACTAAAATCTTTTCAATCTTGACCATTATTATAACTCCAAGTAAAACCAAACATTTTCATACTCAAAACTATCTAAACTCAATTCAAATTTCTATTCTTTACCTTCATTATCTATAAATTATATTATCTTCTTAATTTTTTAAAGTGGGTAATCCAGACATCAACTACATTATGTATATTATAACAATCACTATCAAATAAACTTACAACACCTACTTAAGATATTGTACTTAATGGATTATACCTTGTCCATATTCCATATCCATAGGATAATTATTCATCATTTTCTATCATCTTACTTAAATCAACTTTCTCAGATGAAAATTAATATAAGGAACTCATTTCCTTCATCTCTTGTCCCCTTACTTTAAATACAAGAACTAACAATTAGATTTAAAATATCATATTTAAATAATAATCAAGGATTTTTTTTCATTTCTTATCTTTAAAAACTAGACTCAGGATCCTAATTATAATAAATCATTAAATAAAATTTATTTTATTATTTTTGTATGATAATCATTATTAACTAAAGATTGTTAGCCATAATCATTGAAAATATTTCAAAATAGTATGAAAATAACTTATATTGAATTATCAGTCATTATTTTATTCATATTTTAACAGAAGTATTTATTTTTGATTTAACACAATAAATTAACAGGTTTTAATCAAATAAAGAAATTACGACAACCTTTAAAAAATTGTTCAAATCGATTCTCAAAATTGATTCATAATTCACCTTTTATTTACTTTTATTTTATAAAGTTGCTTATCCTGAATACCCTTTATTATAATCTAAGATTTTCATCTTCCTTTTATTAACAATAAATCAATAACTTTTATATAATTATTATTTTTAGTATTTTAATTAATTTTTCTGAGAAATTGCTATTAACAATAAACATAGAATATATATAATAAATTTATAATATTGACTTATAAAAAAAGCTATATTTTCAAAAGGTAGCTTTATTTTATAATAACCTTAAGTTTTCAATTAATTAATTGAGAATAATAAATTAAAATAAAAGAATCGATTTCTACTCATATTTATAAATAATAATCACTATACTTAATTTTAATATAAATAAATATTATTTTATCTAATTTAGTAACATTATGCATAATTGCTTATTTAAGATTATTATTATTATCTCAAATATACGTATACATATAAGAAAAAAAAATTTATAAATTAAATTTATTATAAAATACTTTTCTTAGATTCAAAAATTTTGTATTTTATTTTATTATTAAAATATTAAAATTCAAACAATAGAAATTAAAATTATAAAAAACTCCTGCAAATCATTAAACTTTAGTTTAGACTCTTTTAAAAAGTTCTATAGCTACAACTTGAATGTATTGATAATGTAAAAGTTGGCAATTCTTACTAAAAAAAGCTATTAATATTTTTCGTGCAAGTTTCATTCAAGGAAATTTAAGACGCCAATTAATGATTTCTCCTCTATTTTGAAAATATTGAAATTAGTATATTACGATAAGTATAAGGTTTATTTACTATAAAATAGAATAGCAAAAATATTAATTTGTGGCAATAAGTTAGGATTAAAGTTTGCTTTCTTTTTTATGACTGAAATATAACTAAAAAATCTTTTCCCAAAAAAAATAAGCTCAATAAAAACAAACTTTTTAATTAATATTATTACATTTTATTATGCTATTCAAACATTCATAGTATTTTTAATCCATTCAAATCTAGC